TCAAAAAGTTAATTCCTGAGGAACTTGAACCATAATTACCCGATATAACAACACAAACATAATCAGCCGAAGCAAAATGAAGATGGCTGATTATGATACCATCAGGATATGCTACTGACCAGCTTCTTGAATTTCTGAGAAATTGTGTGCTGGTTCTTGCTTTCATAAACTTCAATTAATGCTTGTATAGCTTTGGATATCATCGCTTTCTTTTGGTTGCCAATAGAATCACTTTCAACCTCAGGCTGAGCACCTGTCTTCCTCAGTGAGGAGCATAGCATCTTAAACCAGTCCTCCAAAAAAGATGCTTTCTGTCACACAAGATGAGGATAAGCCAGATTAGAATAAAGTGCCAGTATTTGATTTTGAAGAAGCAATGTTCTTAGCAGTTAAATGCAAAAATTTTACAAATATTGGCCATCCATTATAGTGGGCCCTACATGCGACCCATGGGACCACATATCCAAAAATGACAAGGACTCCTTTATTGCAAGCTTCCAGTTATGGGGGATATGGTCAACCAAAAAAGGCACATTTATAATCAATTTAAAGCAGAGGTGGCATCTGGGCACGTTAGGTCATTTCAAGTTACATTATATTCAGATCATTGACTTTAGCATCAGTTTTGGTTCAGACAGGTTGGCCGGTCTCCCAGGTTCCAGTTAAAATTTTACTTTGCCAGAGATAGCAATTGAGTTTTGGTCAAGGTTGGATTCATGCTTTAGTTCGGGTTATTGACATTTTTCAGTAATTCAGGTGGTTTCCAGGTGGATTTGTCAGGTCAGCTTACGCCACCTCTACTTTATAGCAAGTTAGATAAAAGCCAAGAAGATACACATGGACCATCATTTTTCAGAATGTTATTATATTTGCAAGCACTTAAACATGATGACATGGCAAGGACAATATATTATGCACATTAATTAGATAACAATTGCTATTTTTCAGCAAGGATCAGAAACATCCATGAGCAATTCTAAAAAAAGAAGAAGTATATAAAATGAAAAACAGTTCCATAAAAGCAATCACTAAAGAAGCTGGGTATAATGTTTATCTAATGTCAACACTCAGGCTACAATGGTAACAAATTTACAAAATCTCCAAACAAACCAAAAATCATACAAATTCTAGCCTGCAAAATTGTTTATAAACACATTTCTCTAATAGGAATTCTACACTTGTCCGACAAAACCTCTAAGTTCCTAAAATATTCATGTGTTTAAGAGTGGCAAGCTCAAGCAAAATGCTGACATAACGATTTGCCAAATTTATTAAGAAAACCTCTGCTCCTAATGCTTAAAAGTTAATATCCAACAGAAACTTTGTTAGGTCAAAGCTTCAAGTTTACGAAGGTCTATGTGGTTGTTTTAAATTTTGAAAAATTTTCACTCCATCCTAAGTGCTAGAGCTCTAAAGCTCAATCCAGATCACTCCTTCAAAAACCAACCTTGATGAGACCAAGCATTTCAAAGTGTCACCTTTTTCCTTTTTGAAAGTGAGAAATCATCAATAGTAACAATGAAAACTACATGACAGACATGACTGCATACAAAGGTTCATTGAATGCATTCATAGCATTTGTGAACATCAAATAAGGTTGGTTAATGCTTACTTTGATGAGAAAATCTTTCAGAGGTTGGTGATCTGTTGCTGAAGCAAGGCTAAGGACATGCAACATGGTTGAAGTTATCTGCAAGAGGAAAAGAAAATCCAATTCATGATTAGACATGGTTGTCTTATTCAACTTGGACCACAACAAAAACCTTTTTCTGAAAATAATTAGTTTAAATGATGTAATTTATTCTAAATTTGTCATGAAACTTCAGATTCACAGGAATCCGTATGGCTATGCAAATTTCTTCTCATAATTTCACTTGATGAAAGACCATATCATCCACTGACCTGGATTAGATAATAAGCATTTGTTTAACAAGTGAGGAAAACTCTAAGCTGAGTTCTATCATTTCAAAAGACTAAGATGTGTTCTATCATTTCAAAAGACTTTCTCATATGCACAAAATAACCTGCTTCTCAAGCGCAATCCTATATTTGAAACTTGAAGGCACTGAAATTTGGTCTGAACCTAGACTCTCCACTACATGCTCCAGACCTTGGATGATGTCTGGGAAAGATTTCCCATAATCTGCATCAAACAAAATGGAAACAAAGTGAGCAATGTCACAAATCCAGCTTTAAACTTTCAAAGAATATGAACTATTCTGACAAAATGGTCCCAGTCAACAAGTCTAAGATTAAGCGTAAATAATGATTGAAGAACCCATTATTGATTTCAAGGCAAAACAAAACCACAATTGCATCATAACCATGATAAACAGTAAATAGTCCTACCACTCACCAAGTGCTGATGCTGGCACAGCCAATGCAGCAGCAGCTTGTATCCTGATCTTGAAGTTCGAAGAATCGCGTAGTAGTAATAGAAGAATACCAAAAACTGATGGAGCCCTGGCAAAAATGTGTACACGCATAGTTACAAATATATCTCAATTAAGTATCACAAATTGTAAATGGAAAACAAGTTGCTGATATAAACAAAACATGTGAAGTGATCTAGGAACTAATTGACTCAAATAGTTTGCAAGACCTTCAAATTTTTAGCAGAAAATATATTAACAGCAAAGTGTTTTTACTGATGAAACCAAAAGAGAACATGAAATATTTCTTACAGGGTTTGCAGACAGTAATTATATATTTATATGTGTAGAGGCAACAAAGAGTGAGGATTCTATGATTATCACTTATGACTGGATATATTCATGATAGGCACCAAGGAATCCTTGTACAGGTCTAAGTGTCAATTTTGTTTTTTGGTTGCTCACCTCTTTTAAGCATCCATTATCATGCACAACAAGTAAACATTCACAAACGCTCAAGTTAGATGCCGGAAAACATAACTTAGCACATAAACTCAAGCTAGCATGACTGTACAAATTACAAAGCTTTAAAACCTAAACATACAAATGTAAACCAAAAAATTTACGACATTTCTTTTCAATTTTATTAAAATTAATAGGCTAGATTAAAAACAAAGTAAATGAAATCCTTTTCTTTTCCTATTTTAAGGGAAAAATAATTATAAGACAAGATATTTCATTTCTTCAGAAGAGGGATTGAGGGGTTTACTTGTAGTTGTTTAGAAATGGAAAAAAAAAAAAGTTTAATAGTGAACATTTTGCCGCAGGTAGAGAGCATACCAAATAGCAGGTTTCTATTTCCATTTACAAAATACAAGCATAGATAATTATTGGGGAGCCAAGCTACTTTCTATCCTTGATCATCATTCAAAACACAGGGTTACCAGCTGCAAAACAAAGAAAACAATTCTGCAACTTCCTCCTCTGATCTAACTGGAATGTGGACGTTTTTACATCTAGGTTTGCCTAATCCCATGACAATGAACACTGAGGCCAGAGTACGTTTGGACTTTCCTTACACATGCCCTAGCTACGTAAGATAAAATTGCTAACTCATAATTTATCCAACCATTTTGTTTTGATCAACTTATGATTATTGTAAACAACAATATAGATCAAACTGTTTAGTAAAGAGTAGGCAAACATATAGGGGCAGTATTTGCAAGAATGTAAGCATGAAGAATTTAGCATCATTATACCAATCCATATCTTGCAGTTGTATTGTCCTATTCAAAAACAGGTTGCTCAGTGCGTGACAGACATTCCATTGAACCTGGCGGATGTAACGTCAGAGTCATGTACAGGGCATAGTTAAACTAACATTCAAAAAAGATTATACGCTCACACCAAGTTGAACTCAATGCTGTCCAGAAAACTACAATGCAAAATGATACCTTAACATTTCCAGTTGTAACACAAGAAATAAATGCTTGCACCATACTGTCCAGCCGATGCAAATCCTTCAATGATGCTGGGTCATCTCCATCAAAAGCTTTGGGATCACTTCTTGCTGACAACATAATAACATTGTTGGAAGTAGAAGAAAATCCTGTATTCACCACAGGCTTATTATGCACACATGTTGAACTTGAATATCTGACAAATCTTGCAAGATTTCCCAGAGCCCTCACAGCATTTGATTTGATCTAATAGAAAGAAAAAGAAAAAGAGATAAAAGCTGATAAAGTGGCTAATTGATGTACTAAGAGGATAATTACAATCTCTTCAAGAATACAAGAACTTCATAAACTATCACTTTGCTGAGCATTATCTAGTAATTACCAAAACCAAGTAAAACCTAGCTTCTGAGAACACAGGATGCTGAAATTAATTAGTGAAAATATATGAAACCTAGAGCAGCAGGTTTAGCAGTCTGCCATCATGGAAAAGGCTAAACACTTGATATAAACCATGATATATAATAAACATATATTTAGACTGTTAAATAGATAGTTCAATGAAACATATATTCTAGGACACTATCTAGACAACCTTGACAATAGCATTTCAATTGTTCTTGGGCTAATATAAAGAAATCCAAAAAAAATGATTCATAATTAGCCGACCCTACAGGTTTAAGAATCAAGTTTATTAAGAATAATTTTCACTAACAACAAATCAATATTTACATAAATGGCATCAAGATGAAATTAAGAGATGATGTAAAAGCAACAGAAGATTAGATCCAAAACTAATACATATACATACATACATCTATACCCACCTGCACCCTATATATTTTCCAATTTGGTAAAAGGAGGGACACCCTGCCCTTCCCTTATTCTCCACCCATCTTCTCCCTTCTCTTGTGATTGAGTACATTACCCAATTGAACTTCTGGCAGATATAAAGCTAGAGCAAGAAAACTCATGAAAGCATAGATATATTCTAAGAACCGAAATACCTCTATCCTAAAAACTGAAATAACTCACAAACCTACAAGATTTCTGGAACAGACACAAGAAGTTGTCAACAACAGCTCAAGCATACACAGCAAAGAAGGCAAAAAGTGTACATCAAATTCCTATCTCATAACACCTACAAGTTATCTTTCACACCAATCTCCCATAAATTATAAAAGGTTATAAATGCCTACGAACATATATACCTTGTCCCCATCCTTCGTTAGATGCAAAGCACACTCAGTTAACAACTCCACTAATTGCGAGTTTTTGTCTGAATCTGTAACAGTGTCCAGAAAAAGATAATTAGATACTTGCAACAACCATAGCTATCATTATCGTACAATACGCGATACATATTGTGCAATGCAATACTAGTAAAAAACGATACGTATCTACAGCTGTATCGCATTGATCAAGTATTGAAAGTGTATCTTAAGATACGCGATACATATCTTAAAATAAGGGCGTATCGTACGATATAGTCGATACACTTTTAATAAACTTAATAATTTTTATTATTTTTTTTGAGTTGAAACATGAAATTATATTTTATGAGTTTCAATCTTTAGATTTTAAACAAAAAAATACTAAAAAAATTGAATTCCCTTTTAATTTCAACATGATAAATGTTTTTTAATTTTTAATTAATAACTTAATATGAAAAAATATATATTTTATTTAAAAATCTATATTATTAAAGAATATGTTGAAAGTTTAAATTAAAAAAAAATCACCTTTTCAATTTTTGCCCTATAATCTTCAGTTCTGACAAAAAAATAATATTTTTCAATTTTTCTTTATTTTATATGTATACATATTATTTATAATTAATTTTAAAATTTTTTACCATATCTTGCAATATGACACGATACCCAATACTAAAAAAAAAAAGATTTTGATACACGTTTTTTATCATGATTTAACAACTATGGCAACAACATTAGCATCAAATATAGCAAATTCAAAAATAATTCTATCAAGCCAGAAAGCCACCTATAGACTGTTTTAAAGGAAAATCATTACCAAAGTGACGGAAAGAATCACATATGTTCGCCAAAGCCCAAGAGGCTGGTATTCGCACCTACAAAAGTATTCATAAGTGATATTTACATTTGAATAAATAATTATCTAAATGCCCCTTTAAGATCTAACTCAAGAACAGTACGAAAATATACCGAGACCACCGGATCACGAGTGTTACTCTCAACAGCATGGATAAACTTGCCAAGGATCTCTGCACTAAATAGTTTAGGCTCTTCATAAACTTTTCATTCATGATTTTTACACATATTCAACCAATTAAAAGATCATAAGCACTTTTATAGATCGTTTAGCAACATCATAGAATCACCTCTCAGAAATTTTCTGGAAACATGAAACAACACCAATTGCTCGACAAGCAGCCGACCTGACTGAAGGAACCTCATCATGCATAGCAGCACTGATCTACAATGTTTTTGTTTTCCCAAACATAAAACAAGGAGAATTTGGAGTAAACATTAGGTAAGTTCACCACAAAAAGGAAAAGGAAAAAAAGGTAAGGCTTGAATTAATGATATATAAGGACTTACTAAAGAAGAAACAACAAATTCCTGATTTCCCTTTGGAAGAGTGAAGAATACAGAGGAAGTGATTCCAGCAAAACAAGTTACTGATGCAGTTCGAACCTTCCAGAGGAAAGCAGCAGCTCAGTGTAATATACAGTAATAATAGAACACTTAGAATCTTGTAATAAGATTACTTACCACCTTGAATACGATTGAAAGAGATAATAATCACAATGTAAAAAGTGAAACCCCGAGTTTCATCTAACTCTTTGATATTCTTCATAAAAAAATGCAAATTAATTTTGAGTCCAAAATTGATTCCAATTTGGATGGTGTTTACCAGATAGGGAATTCAAAAAATGACAGACAACAACAAGTTTATCCCTACAGAGTTTACAATCACGTGCTTTAACCCTAAAAAGTGTAGCTTTCACAAACAAGTTTCTGATGCTTAAACAGTTAAACTTCACTACTTCACCAATTAAAATGTTGCTATTACACATAGCACCATCGGCCATCCACACTAAATCAACCAGATAATCCTTACGCTTCTCCTAGAGTTGCCTGAAAGTTCAGAATTTTCATAGTCAAATGCAATTCCGTCCAACATTATGGTGTGTTAGCTTTATTTGTTTAGCTACTCAGAATTAGGAGGATCCTTTACTCATTGACATAATTGGGCTACCAGAAGTAAAGATTCATAGGAGAATTGCCACATCCACCTCTAATTGCATATAGAAGAACAAGAACAAAAACAAAATAATGATGGTTATGATGATAATAGGAATAGAAAGAAAAAAAAAAATCAAGGGAAGGCAATAAACTTAGCTTTGAATAAGCCTTAGTCCACAGGCATGTCAGTAGTTAGGAAACTAAAGAAAAGGGTTAAAAAATAACTAACCATTGCAGAAGCATGCCATAGAATGAGAGGCATGTGCTTCTCAATTGTCTCAGCCCATTGCTCAATTCCTGATGGATTAGTATCTTCCACACTCTGAGGTGCATATGATGGAGCTGATGATATTTTCTTAATCCTTATGCAATCAGAAGTAAATGGGGTATCCAAAAATTTTTCATCTGAAAGATCCTCAGTTCCTTTGAATCCTGATATTGCACGAAGGCATTCATCCCAAACCTGAAGAATAAAATAACATCAAAAGTTATGAATCAAGTGTCAAGTCTAACGAGGAGAAAGAACTAAATCAGAATGAAAACTTGCACACACAACTACCACATGGAGAAGGGCATCTTGCCCTATTAGGTACAAAGCTCATGACATAGTATGAAAAACTGAAAACTCCCTAATATCTAATATATCTAATATCACTGACAAGAAGAATCTGCCAGCCTTCCACATGTTTGGTGCACAGGATGTGTTTCTGGAGTTTTCAGACCATCGAAATCCTAAGGAACCACAACAAAAATGATACTAATGCCTTTGAAGGGTATATTCAAAGGGATCTACTCTGAACTGTCACTTGATCACAAAGATTATGTTGACAAACATACAATAAGACATAAATTAAAAATTAAAAAAAAAACGATATGACAATGGATATCTTACCTTTATAGCAGAGGTAACAATTTTTTCCCCAACAAACAAAACAGTGTTTCCAGCTTGTTCCTTCCAGGTCTTTGCTGGAATTTCTGCAGAAGCTTCTCTCAGAAATTTGTGAACAATGGCAGAAATTTGTCCCCAACATGCTAGCATTAAGTCTGGGTAATTGTGTATCAAAGCTCTAAGGGCCTGGAACACGTCATGCATATATCACTACGTGTAGAACAGGTATTCTCAATTTAAAATACTGAAGAAGTATTCTGAAAATCTCAATTGAATACACTCAATTCTCAAGTTTAAATATCAAAAGGTCAAAAATCAAAACCTAAATGCCAAGTTTAACATAACATAGGAAAATAAAGCCCACTTAAATACCAAGCAAGGTAAAAAAAAAAAAAAACAAACCCAACAAACAAGCCCACAGAATAGATTAAATCCTAGTTACTAAATTTATGCCTAGAAGAGACATTCTTCCAAAACTTGCAATAATAATCTCCATTATATGCTTCTCCAAACACAGCATTGTGTCACGGACCGCAGCTCAGCGTATTAGAGGTGGCCTAAGGGTATTCCGAAGTGCCGGTATGTGGGAGAGTACTGCTGGGAGAGAACCCCCACTGGATAACGAAAGGCAAGTGCAGGGTGCCAGCAGGGGCGCACAGCACAAGCCCCTGGGCGAGCCAGCCTGCACAGAGCCAGGTAGACTGCGCGCAGGTGCCCCAGCCTGCACAGCAGGGGTGCGTGGCACGCCGACCCGCACGGCATGGGTACGCGGCATGCAGGCCAGGGGCCCCTAGCCCAGCAGGGGTACACGCCACGCTGGGGCGCACAGCATTGGCTCAAGGTACGCAGGCTCGGGGCCCGCCGGCCCAACAGGAGTGCGCGGCACGGAGGATGGCACGGTAGGGGCGCGGCACGCAGGCCCGCACAACGCCCAGACAGACTGCCTGCGCACGGCCCCTGCGCACCAGCCCGCCAACGCCCAGGCACACAGCCTGTGCGCAGCCCAGACCCATCAAGGGGCCCAAGATGGTGCCGGCCCACGAGACCTACTCTTTTGATGTATTGAGCTACTAGAAATTTTAGCTTCCCTCCTAAATATTTTAGAGAAAAATATTTGGGGAAAATTGGCTATAAATAACCCCTTGTACTTTGTGTAGTTCATTCAATTC